ACATAGGATGTAGGAGTTAATGGATAGACCGACATAGCCCTCATGAAGCTAGTAGTGAGCCTCCTTCTTGAACAATCATCCTAGGAGTGTAGATACGCCCAGGGTGCTGTTAGGAAGTTCCAGGGTATTGACCAAGTGACTGTGAGAGAACAGTGATAAATGTTTCAATTCAAAATTATGTGATACTTATAGGGAACTTTACAGCTGACTGTGTTCCTATGTATCTGCTGCCCTTGTCCTTTTAGGTTGTAGAGATTGCAAGTTTGGAAAGTGCTGTTGAAGGAGCGTCAGTGAGTTGCTGCGATGCATCCTGTGGGTGGTACACTGGTGCCAGTTACAGCTGCTGCCTATTTCTCTACTGTCTGTCTCCTGCCATTCAGCCATTTTCTTAACCAACTCAACTTTTGTCACAAGTCTACAAGGCTGTATGCAGGGCCTTATGGCACAATGGTAGCATTTTTATTCATTTATGGGACGTCCGCACCATTGGCCATTTATTGCCCATCCCTGTTAAGAGTCAACCACATTGCTGTGGGTATGAAGTCACATGTATGCTAGACTAGGTGAAGTTAGTAGTCTCCTTCCTTAAAGGGCATTAGCAAACCCAATGGATTTTTTCTGACAATTGACAATGGTTTCATGGTCATTATTAGATTCTTAATTCCACCCTTCACTGTGCACCATGGTGCCCCTACATCAGAGCTAGTAGGTCCAGGTTCAAGTCTCACTTGCCCTGGAATCATGTAACAGCATGTCCGAATAGGCTGATTAAAAATAAGTACAAAGTAGTATTGATAACTCAGCATCAATCTGTGCGATGGACTATTGCAAAGTAGAGACTAAAAGCATCCATCACATCCAAATGAATCTGTCACAGGAATCTTTTAAAGACCACGTGTACTCAATTATTTGTTCATTCACGAAATCTGAGCATCACTGGCAAAGCCAGCATTTATTGCACATCGCTGATGGCCCTCGAGAAAGGTGAATTATTATAAACAGATTTGGAAAGTGATTAGAAAGATTATGTGATAGTAAAAACTGCAGATGCTGGAGTCAAAGATAACACAGTGTGGAGCTGGAGGAACACAACAGGCCAGGCAGCAGAGGAGCAGGAAAATTGACGTTTCGGATTGGGACCCTTCTTCAGAAATGGGGAGGGGGAAGGGAGGTCAGAAATAAATAGAGAGAGGAGGGGTGGGGCTGGGGAAGGTAGGTGGAATGGTGATAGGTGAGTGAAGGTAGGGAGTGGTGGGGATTGGTCAGTGAGGTGGGGGGGCAGATAGGTGGGAGAGAAGATGGACAGGTTGTGTCAGGTCAAGGAGGTGGGGATGAGAGGGGGATGGGGAGCTTTTGAAACTGGTAAAATCCACATTTTGGCCATTGGGCTGTAGGCTCCCGAAGCGAAAAGTGAGGTGCTGCTCCTCCAGTTGCCGGGTGGCGTCATTGTGACACTGGAGGCGGCCCAGGATGGACATGTCACCCAGGGAGTGGGAGGGGGAGTAGAAATGGGTCACAACTGGAAAGGTGTTGTTGTTTGTTGTGAACAGAGCGCACTTGCTCTACAAAGCGGTCTCCGAGCCTCCACTTGGTCTCACCGATGTAGAGGAGGCCACATCGGGAGCAGCAGATGCAATCGACCATGTTGACAGATGTGCAGGTGAACCCTTGTCTAATGTGGAAGGTTTGTTTGCTGCCTTGAATGGAGGTGATGGGGGGAGATATAGAGGCAGGTGGAGTACTTCCTGCAGTTGCAGGGAAAGGTGCCGGGGCTGGTGTGGCTAGTGGGGAGTGTGGAGCGGACAAAGGAGTTGCGGAGAAAGTGGTCACTGCGAAAGGCAGATTCGGGTGGGGAGGGAAATATATCTTTGGTTGTGGGGTCGGATTGTAGGTGGTGGAGAATGATATGTTGGATACGGAGGTTGGTGGGGTGATGCAAGAGGACAAGGGGGCTTCTGTCTTTGTTTTTATTGCAGGGAGGGGGTATGAGGGCAGAGGTGCGGGAAACGCAAGAGATGCAGTTGAGAGCATTTTCAACCACCGAAGTTGCAGTCCTTGAAATAAGAGGACATCTGGGATGTTTGGGAGTGGAATGCCCCATCTTGGCAACAGACGCAGTGGAGGCGGAGGAACTGGGAGTAGGGGATTGCATTCTTGCAGGAAGGTGGGTGAGAGGAGGTGTAGTCTAGGTAGCTGTGGGAGTCATTGGGTTTGAAATAGATGTCAGTTTCAAGGCGGTCACCAAAATGGAGACAGAGAGGTCCAGGAAGTAGAGGGAGGTATCGGAGATGGTCCAGGTGAATTTGAGGTTGTGGTGAAAGGTGTTAGTAAAGTTGATGATCTGTTCAAGCTCCTCGTGGGAGCACAAGGCAGCAATGTAGCGGAGGAAGAGGTGGGGGATAGTGCCACTTTAGCAGCGGAAGATGGACTGTTTCGCATATCCTACGAAGAGGCAGGCATAGCTTGGGCCTATGCGGGTTCCCATGGCTCCCCCCCCAGTCTGTAGGAAGTCGGAGGAGGTAAAGGCAAAGTTGTTAAGGGTAAGGAGAAGTTCTGTTAAGCGGATGAGGGTATCAGTGGAGGGGGACTGGTTGGGCTTGTGGGAGAAGAAGAAGTGGAGGGCTTTTAGGCCATCTGCAAGTGTATGGGGATTGGATATCCATAGTAAAGGTGAGGCGTTGGGGGCCAGGGAATTGGAAGTCTCAGAGGAAGTGGAGGGTGTGGGGCATGTCCTGGACTTAGTGGGGAGAAAACAGAGTCAAGGAAAGCGGTGATAAGTTCAGTGGGGCAGGAGCAGGCAGAGACAATGGGTTGGCTGGGGCAGTCGGTTTGTGCCATCTTCAGTGCAAACCATCTTTGTTTGGGAGAGACTTTGACTGAATAGTAGCAGCAGAGTCTAGTTTAGTTGCACTGTGTCACAGTCATTAAGATTTGTGTTCAGTATACCTATCAATATCAGTCTTGAAGATTTCAATTGACTCACTATTCATGATCTCTTGCAGGGGAGCAAATTCCAGACTTCCACTAGCCTTTGTCATCAGAAATTGCTTCTTGATTTTATTCCTAAATATTGGTTCAAATTTTAAAATTGTGCTGTGTCAATTAGGATTTCTTCACTAGTGGGTGAAACTTGTATGCATCTTCCCTATTCCAAGAACTACCATTCATGCACCTTAATTAGGTCACCCCTCAACCTTCTCAAAGCTTGGGAAGACTAGACAAACCTATGAGACCTGTTGTCATAATTTAGCCTATTAAGTCCAAGTGGAATTTCAATGAATCTACACTGTTCCTCCCTAGACCAATATATCTTTCCTGAAATACAGTGCACAAAGCTGAACACAGAACTTCACCTTGGTCTGATCAACAGTCTATACAACTGAAATGTCACTTCCTCATTTTCTTCTTGCAGCCCCATTGAGATTCAGTCCTTTGTTTTGATTACTATTTGTACCAGTGAAGTAACATGTGGTAATAGCCAAATCTTTGTTTCTCCACAGTCCCTCAACCTAAAGAAAAAAAAGTTCTAATTTATCTTAAATCCAGAGCAGATGACCTCACTTTTTGGCACTGAATATATCTGGCACTCAGTGATCCAAGATCTGTCCCTTTGCAACTTGCTGCTTCCATCCATGTAAGAGTTATTATGCCTCCCAACATAATGTCATCTGCAATGAATATACCAATCTTTATTCCCTTATCCAAGTCAATTTAGATTATGAAAGGCAGGCAACCCAGTGTAGATTTCTGGGAACACTACATGTCAGATCCCACTCATTAGAGAAATGAGCCCTCTATCCAAACAATTACGAACCCACGCCACCTAGCTCTGTTGCAAACAAGAAATTTCACAAGTTATAACACAAGAGGGATTAATAATACAAATAAGATTCAACTGACATATGGGCATTTTTAAATTGGAAAATTCAAAGAACTAGAAAAATATTCAATCTTTATGAAACTATACAGTAGTCACTATGGCAATAACGATAATGTTAATCAGACGTATTTTGTAGCTGTAAATTAAGTTAATCAGTTAATCCCTGTCCCTTTAAGGATTAGAGCAATCTTGTTGCAACATCTTTCGAGATTTCAAAGATGTTGGTACTGCTCGAATATTTAGCCCAGTTAGTTAAGCAATCATTCGATTGATTGACAATGAGAATAACAAAATGCAGCCGCTTGAAACACGGTGCTCTGGGTTGTAGTGGGCGTTTGAAATGCTGCTTGCAGTTAAACTGAGACAAAAAGTAAGCTTTCTTTATGCTGACTGGTAAAGTACCACTGATAACCCTGGGAGAACACACTGGTGCCGAAGTTAAACTGCAGAGCGCGCGGTAGGAAGTCTATGAAGCACAGTTTCACCTCTTGGTTATTGATGTGTGCGAGTGGGGGCGGGGATCGTTTTTATAATAAGACCCTCTTCACTTAACAAAACAAAAGTCGACTTACTTTCTACGATAAGTTTTTGTTTTAATTCTCATAGGCTTCCTAAATTGCATGGCGCTGTAGGAATGGGATTTGTAATACCCCTACCCCCAAGTGCCTAATGAAGAGAAACTTCTCACAGTTGCTCACCGGACTCCCATCTCTCAGTTTACAGACACCACTTCCCACCAGCTTTCCACTCAGTACTGTGCATTTTTTGCACTGAACATCAACACCAGCCCCCACCCCTTCCCCCTCTCTCTTAGACCAACTCTTCACGATCGGTCTGAACTTGCAGCAGCAAGCAAATTAAATGTTAACCCCCTCCCCTCCCAAGTCAAAGAAAATCCAACCATTTGTTACGTACACATAAAACAAGAGCAATCGACTTTCCCTGAAATCTAACTGTCCTACAAAGACCCACTAGACTGATAGAAAGAAACAGGATCGATTCACGTTGAAAACGCCCAAGCCTGTCAAGACAAAAGAAAATCGGTCTCCTTTTTTGTTTGTTCCCCAAAAAAAAACACGAAATCGCGTGAAAAGGGGGCTAATTAAGAGATCGAACTTACTTCAGCATTTATCAAGGCGATGGCTAGAAGGACAAAAAACGGAATACTTTTGAATACCTGTTCAAAACAAGAGGCAGATCATCAATGCAACAAAATTATATTGCGGCCAGTATAGAAGAGACAAAAGCTGAAAAGAGGAGAAAGCAGAATGACTGGCTTACCATCTTGCTGCGATGATCGAGTTGAAATAGCTGTGTGTGTGTACGTATTTGAAAGAGAGCGAGAGAGAGAATGAGAGAGACCGACAAGGATTTGATCCACACAAGGGACCCGGGGGAGGGATAGGATTTGAAGGAAATTTGATCAGGACTCCGGGATTTAAAGCTGTCTCACACCCCTGTGACGTGGCTTGGAACAAACACTAAAACATCAGATTTACAACAAGCTTTACTAACACCGTCCATAAGCTGTAAGGTCAAACCTCACAGCTTCCAGCAGATCATGTCTCTCACTCTCAGATGTGGCGAATTTGAGCCGATTTGGGCTTTTCTTTGAGGGAGTCGGCAGGGGGGTAGGTGAGATTGAAGGAATAGCTGCAGGAATTTGCCGTCGTTATTGGAGGAATCGAGGTCACCTGATCATTTAAAGTTACGGAGAGAGGAATGAGAACAGTTTAGGGATTTCTTCGCCCCCACCCTAGTCTCATAAATTAATGCAGCCAGGCAGATAACGGGAGGGATTGAAAGGTCTGTGAAACACTTGGAGCTTTTTCAATCTCGCTGCTTTCTCACAGCCTGGAATTGAAATAGTTAGCCTCATGAGAATTCTCTGCAGACGTCTTCTATTTTCCTTCAAGATTTTGCCATCTTTCTGTGATTCTGTCTCCCCGCCAGCCCGAATCAAATTAGACCAACTCTTTCCGAGGGCGGCCGCCTCAATTTGAAGTATTTCTGTGTTCCAGTGTGACATCTTAAAACGGAAATCAATGGCATTTCACAATTCCTCCCCCCCCCCCAACTTATTGGAAGAAATCAAAGCTGTAAAACCATAAATGCGCTTTCTGAGAAGGTTCAAAGCAGTTACAAAAAATACTTGACCATCGTCTTAGCGCAAAGTTGCCAGAAATATTTTTCCTTCGCGTTAGTAACTTACAGAAAACCATATAGATCACTATCAAATGTAAACAATAATTGTGGAAGTATTTAGCCAAGAGCTGATGGCTTGATTCGTTCTCCTGCTCTGTCGCTTGTTTCTGCGTTGTGAGCAGATTTTTTTCCCTGCTGCATCGAATACAGGCAAACTGATTATAGTTTGATTTATGTTTGAGAGGTTGACTTTTATGAGTTTGCTCACATCGTGTTCCCTGCCATCTTTCCTTTTCCTATTGATTACTTCAATGGTCAGGCCGCTATTCTGTACACTTCGCCGTTCCCATATTTGAGGTTGGAAGTAGCTCTTGGACTGTTACTGAGTCACTGCCCCCAGTGCTGCTGCAACAACATCATCGCCAAGTTTGGATGGTCCCCGTCTGTTTGGAATGGTAGAACTTACTGAAGTCCAACATTCAAACAAAATTCAACGTTTCATTCAGGCAAGAGTCAGCCTCGTTGAGTGTAAGCAACTTGTTCGTTGGCTGTACCACGCCAATACTTCTACCAACGCTGTCTGATTGAGTGTCACAGTTAATGCTCCCTGTGTGAAGTATTAAGCAAAGGCCCTGGCTACCTGTTCAGTCCAATGTGAAACAAAATCCACATCCCCATTCAAACAAGAACAGGCAGAAAAGTGGTAAATGGAATTCAATCTGGAGAACTGTGAACTTTGGGGAGGACAGTCAAAGTGAGAGGAATACATAGTAAATGAGAAGTGTAGAGGAATACAAGGATCTTGATCAATTGCATTTGCTGATCCCCGGTGAGTAACAGGTCAGATAGACAAGGTGGCAGGCAGGCAGGATACCTTTCCCTATGAATTAAGGTCTAATTAGAACAACGCAAGAGTGGTGTGTACAATCTGGTCACTAACTTACAGTGTGCGATCACACCAGAGAAAGTCTAGAGATTTACGTAGCCCTTGTCAGGAATGGAGAATGTTACAGATAAGATTAGATCTTTATTTGAAACCAAGGAGGCTTGAGGGGAGATTTAATTGAGACTATTAAAATCCTGGAGGACCCAGACTGGACAGGAAGGATCTGCTTCCTTTAGAGAGAGCAATAATAAGGGAGAATACATTGAAAGTGGCAGAATAGTTCATTTCTGTTTCCGTCTCCACACATGCTGCTGAATTTCTCCAGTCTTTATTTGAGGAGAAAATTTTTCATCTATTTAGTGGGGGGATCTGAAACCTCCACTTGAAAGGGTGATAAAATCAGAATTTCCTATCACATTTAACAAACACTTGTAAATGCAGTTGTAAGGCTGTTAGCTCAAAGGCCATGGATCTAAAGCTGGATTTGACTGAATCGGTCTTTTCAGTGGGCTCAGAAAGATGAGCAGAATGGCGTCTTTCCGTGCCTTCAGTTTCCTGATATCAAGGACAACATTTCTCTGAAACTAAGATGATTCAAAAGAAAAAACAAAAGGACCGCGGTGCTGTAAATCAGGAACAAAGACAAAGTTGCTGGAAAAGCTCAGCAGGTCTGGCAGCATCTGTGGAGGAGAAAACAGAGTTAATGTTTCGGGTCTGGTGACCCTTCTTCAAAAGAAGTTAATTGGAGATCAATCACATGCTTTTTGGTGGATTTTATTGGGCATAATAGAATGCCACATTCACTACATAACAAAAGCAACTAAAATTCAAAAGCAATTGTTTAAATACTCTCTGGGATATGTGTGTCATTGGCTGGGCCATTATTTATTGTTCGTCCCTAGCTGCCCTTGAAAAGATGATGGTGAGCTGCCTACTCAAACTGCTGGAGTCCTTGTGCTGTGGGTTGACCCACAATGCCATGAGGAAGTGAATTCCAGGATTTTTTTCAGTTCTGAGGAAGGGTCACTGGACCCGAAACGTTAACTCTGATTTTTTTTCTTCACAGATGCTGCCAGACCTGCTGAGCTTTTCCAGCAACTTCTGTTTTTGTTCCAGGATTTTGACCTGGTGACAGTGAAGGAATGGCGACACATTTCCAAGGCAAGATGATAAATGGCTTGGAGGGGAACTTGCAGGTGGTGGTGTTTCCATGTATCTGCTGCCCTTGTCCTTCTAGATGGAAGTGACCCTTGGTTTGGAAGGTGCTGTTTGAGGAGCCTTGGTGAACTTCTGCAGTGCATCTTGTATGTAGTACACACTGCTGCTACTGAGTGTCAGTGGTAGAGGGCAGCAATATTTGTGGATGTGGTGCCAATCAAGTGGGCTACTTTGCCCTGGATGGTGTAAAGCTTCCTGAATGGTTTTTGGAGCTGCACCCATCCAAGTAAGTGGCAAGTATTCCACAAAATTCTTCACAAGAACCTTGTAGCTGATGGACAGGCATTGGGGAGTCAGGAGGTGAATTACTCACTGCAGTACTCCTAGCGTCTGGCCTGCTTTTGCAGCCACTGTATTTATATGGCTAGTCCAGTGAGTTTCTGATTAATAGTAACCCCTAGGATGTTAATAGAGGGGATTCAGTGATGGCAATGTCATTGAATTTCATGGGATGATGGTTAGATTGTTTCTTACTGACATGGTCATTACCTGGCATTTGTGTGGTGTGAACGTTACTTTCCATCCAATTTGTTTTGAAATACATTTGGATTTCATGAGGAAATATTGTGCTGAATTTCCCTGAATCCTCCTTAGCACTGTTAGGTTGTTACCCCAACCTATAGGACACTGGAACAGTTCAGTAGGTTCAGGGGGACATCCCTGTCATGAAGAGAAGTTCACCATTGCTAGCCAGGACTAAGTGCCTAATGTTATCATGAGCAGGAGCTATTATTCTATGAACAGGAGGAGGCTGCATAATTGGGCAGAATTGACTCCAGAGACCCATGTACGATTTATAGGCCTTAGACTGGGCCAAATTTTCATTTGTTGAATGGTTACAGAACTAAAGGCATGGAAAAACGTCCACTATTAATCAAACTCCTTGCAAGCAGGGTGTCAGGACTCCTTCCTATGCTGGCCCAGCAACTACTGCCACCTTCCTCCCAGTGTTTCCAAGGTAATTGGGTGAACAATAGAAGACAGGGAACAGGAACTTGTTGGTCCCTGCCTTCCCACTTGTAGGGAGCATGTGGAGAAAGAGTCACCTGTAATCTTTGTAGCAGGAACAGAGACAGAAACATAATCTGTTTCAAATTTTGCCAGATGCTGTCATGAAAAGTAACAATTCCTTCTTTTGCATTATCATTACATAGATAGCATTGCTGTCTACTAGGAGTTCAATAATGCTGTCAAAACAGTTAACCTCATGGGGTGTGGGTGTCACTAGTTAGGTCAGCATTTATTATCTGTCCTGAATTACCCTTGAGAAGGTGCTGGTGAGACATCTTCTTGAAACATTGTAGTTCATGTGATGTAAGCCAACATTGCTGTTGCACAGAGTTAACATTGGTTACAGTTCTATTGAAATGATGAGTAATAACAAACAATAATCTTCTCAAAAAATAAAGAATAACAGATGATGAGAATCTGAAACCAAAACAGAAAGTGCTGGAGACATTCAGCATGTCTGGCAGAATGTGTAGAGAGAAAACCAAGTGTTAACATTTCTACACAAACAAAGTTGCTGGAAAAGCTCAGCAGGTCTGGCAGCATCTGTGAAGGAAAAGACAGAGTTAATGTTTTGGGTCCGGTGACCCTTCCTCAGAACATTTCTTCCTCGGTTTTGCTTTTGTTTCTGATTTACAGCATCCGCAGTTCTTTCAGTTTTTGTTAACATTTCTAGTCCAGTAGGCCTTCATCAGAACTGAAAACAGCTGGAAAAGAGTATTATTTTTGTTGATGATAGGGGCTGGTGGCGTGTAGTGGTCGTGGTCGTGGTTTGGGAGGGGGCAAGTGAATAGAGTATATTGAAATGGTGCTTAGAGAGAGGGGGACAGAAAAAAAAGGACAGGCAAACACCGAGATTGCTGATGGTAGGCTGAAAGAGATAAATGCTAGGTTGGATACTAACAAGAAATGTAAATTGTTGAAAATGTGTTGGCTGTGCTTGGAGCAGCACATATAAACAGGACCTAGTAATGTGGAGGTGGGTAATAAACATGGAGGAGGGTGTTCACACACACTGACATTGTTAAATTTTTCAGTTCCTACTATCTCTATTAAATTCAGTGTTGAGTGCTGAAGGCTGCAAGGTACCTAGGCAGAAGATAACGTGTTGTTCCATCATTGAACCTTGTTGGACCACCACAGCAGTCCCGAGACAGAAACATTGCCATGAGAACACGGTGGTGTATTGAGGTAGCAGGCAACTGGAAGCTTGGGGTTATTTTTACAGAAAGAGCATAGGCATTCCGTAATGCAGTTACCCTGTCTGCATTTCATCTTCCCAGTGTAGAGGAGATCACATTGTGAACAGCAAATACAGTGTTGATTGAATAAATGACAGGTAAACCACTGTTTCACCTGGAAGGTGTATCTGGGGTCTTGGATA